TTCGCTGCAGCAGAAGTGGAAGGTCTTGTCGGTGGTGGTGGTGGTGGTGGCGGCGGTTTGGCGGAAACAACTGTAGATGGTGGCTTCCCATAGTCCAATGTTGACTCTTCGGATTCAGTGGATGAAGATTGTGGGGGCCTTTTCGCCGCAGCAGAAGTGGAAGGTCGTGTTGGTGGTGGTGGTGGCGGTTTGGCGGCAACAGCTGTAGATGGCTTCCCATAGTCTCATGTTGACTCTTTGGATTCAGTGGATGGAGCTTGTGGGGGCCTTTTTGCTGCAGCAGAAGTGGAAGGTTGTGGTGGTGCTGCTGGCAGCTTGGCGGCAACAGCTGTTCTTCTTCTCTTTGGCAAAGATGGCTTCCAATAGTCCAAAGTGGAAGAAGCTTCTGGGGGGGGGGGGGGCTTCTTTGCAGCAACAGAAGGGGAAGCTCTTGCAGGCCTTTTTGCAGCATCAGAAGTGGAAGCTGAAGCTCGTGCGGAAGCAGTGGAAGGTTGTGCGGCTGCTTCTTCAGACTCCTCTAGTAATCCATTCAAGAAGCAAACATAGGGAGGCACGGCATTGAAGACAGTGCAAGCAACATGTCCAAAAATTAGCCAGTTCTCATCATAGTGACATCCCTGTATTGGGAAAAATTTTAATTTGCGTACAAATTCGTCGGCATCATGATGGGCCATAAGCCTGCTCCTATATGTTAGAATAAAGCAAAATGTGCTCTATCGTGAGTGGCTTTAGCGCTCAGAACAAACTCTCTGCAATCTAAATTCGTAATCGACTGTACAACACTTTCACGACAATAGTTCTCCTGTGTCTAGGTATACTTTGAGTGAAATTGTTCCTCTTTTATTAGGACAATAGTTCTCCTGTGTCTAGGTATACTTTGAGTGAAATTGTTCCTATTTGATTAATGTTTGGCTTGAATTGATGATTCAATCACAAAAGTGAACTCAACGATTTTTCCTTGGAAAATCCCTTGTTTACAGAACTTGATTCGACTTCTACGACAATTCTGTGTTGAATGCAGTATTTTGGGAAATCTTGCATTATTCCCTACTGCATCGTACACAACATCAATATCACACTTTTATATAGGATCTTTTCCTTTTTGTGTGGATACAGATTGACCGACAGACTTGCGTCCGGCAGACTTGCGTCGAATCCCAACATCACGATCAAAGTCCGATCGCACGTGTCGAAAACCTTGTACTTGAATAGTTTCTTCTGGAACGTAAAAACTCATATTTCGTCATATCCCAACACAAGATGTCCCAAAGTACTGCATTCAACACAGAATTGTCGTAGAAGTCGAATCGAGTTCTGTAAACAAGAGATTTTCCAAGGGAAAATCGTTGAGCTCACTTTTGTGATTGAATCATCAATTCAAGCCAAACATTAATCAAATAGGAACAATTTCACTCAAAGTATACCTAGACACAGGAGAACTATTGTCGTGAAA